GGAAGTTCAGGTCCCCCATGACTACCACATCCTTAGCCTTCACTACCTCTGTGAGCTGACCCAAGAATTCCTGGTCAAGCTCCTCTCCCTGGTTGGGAGGTCTGTAGTAGACTCCCACCGTTAAGTCCCTTTCCCCTCGACTGCCTTGTACCCTAACCCAAAGCACTTCAGAGTGCCCCTCCCCTGACTCCTTACTAATTGATGAGGATGTGTATTCCTCCTTAATATAGAGTGCCACGCCCCCACCTCTCTTTCCTATCCTGTCCCTCCTGTACAGCCTATAGCCCTTGACATTCACCGCCCAATCATGTGTTGAGTCCCACCACGTTTCCGTAATCCCCACTATGTCCGGGCTGGTGTCAGCCAGCAGGAGGGTGAGTTCCTCCTGCTTGTTACCCATACTATGAGCGTTTGTGTAGAGGCATTTGAGGCCTCCTGTAGTTGTGTGTACTGACCCCCTAGTCCCAGCGTTACCCTGGCCCCTATCTCTTACCTGTTTATTCGCTATGCTCATTGGTCTGGGCTGGGCTGTAGTTGTGGGTGTTGTTTGGTCCGGCAGTCTGATGTTTCCTCCGCCCTCATCTACCCCTTCCCCCGATGAGCCTAGTTTAAAGCCCATCGGAGGAGGTCCGCCAACCTAGAAGAGAACACACACTTACCTTTAGGGGAAAGGTGGAGCCTGTCCCATCCCAGCATGTCTCTCCCAGCATTGCTATATTGGTTTGGGGCAGTGCTTCCCAGACTGTAGAGTGCAGCCTCTAAGGAGGTACAGCAGTTGGCGGTGTGGGGAGTCAGTGGTGGTGAGGAGGAATCGGCAATAATCAACAGCTGAAGTAGGGCAGCACAAGAATGGCAATGGGAGTGGCACTGGGACATAAGCCCCAGAAGTTTGTTTGCTAAGTATAGTTGTATTGCCAATATGTAGGTTTGCTTGGTAGCAATACAGGCCCTACTCTTTGTTCTGAGGCAAGTAGCCTTAACCCTTCATGTTTTACATTCTGGCTAATTTTCCCGAACAAAGAGCTGATTTTTTTTAATTAAAAAAAAAAAAAAATCAGGCTTTTCCTACCTTATTTACCTGACCTGGACTGCGTACAGCATCTGAGCCAGAGCCTAAATTGCAAGACCCAGGGAGCCTGCGACCCTGTTGCTTGCCTCTTAGTGATAGAGACCTGCCTATTACACAGTTCTTGAGCCTGCCTGAAGATGTACTAACATCATTTCTGGATCAAAGCTTGCAGTACTTCCTCATGAAGTTCTGTTAGTGACCTCAGTAGCAGCTTTGGCTGAATAAAAGCTATATCAGGGCTGCAGGGTTTGGCCTTAGGTAATTACATAACCTATAGCAACAGTGCTGTCAAGCCTACATTAAATGTACATGCAGGATGTAAATGTCACAGATGCTGTCAAGATTAATAGGGCCTATAATGTGACCTGCCTCCCCACTGTTTAAAACAGATTACAGGGTCTGTGTAGTTCCTTATAAGGTACGGTTGTTTATGGCTGCTTCCAGCTGGGTGCCTGAGGGACGACCAGAGAAAGAGGATGCATAAAGAGGGCACAACACAACATAGAAATATATTGAGAAGAGGGGAGTCACTGACTGTGTGGCAGGATCATTCAATGAGTGGGTTGGAGATGGAACCAGGGCCCTCTTCTCACCCCAGCCTCCACTCCCCATTCACCACTGAGAGCCAGTCGAATTGACAAGAATGTACTGAACACCTCTTGTACAAAGGAACGGAGTATGACAGCTGAGCGAGTTCCTTCCCAATCCAAACTCACCTAAAGGCAAGACATTAGCTCCCTGCCCACCTTTCATACCTTCACCACTGCTTAAGCGGTGTGGCTGTTCTGTTCCCCAGGCTCACGGCACATGTCGTTTAACCCATTGTAGCCTTTTTAAGACAAATGCTTCATTCTTCTTTCTCCAAGGAGAATAGGAGGACTGCCGAATGGCAGCTCCAGTGCAACCCTCTACTAACAAACTGGTGCAGGCAGCACAACTGTGAGGATCTGCAATGTGGCATAGCCATTGTTTTTATTAATTTCAGGATGAAACTCTCAGGTGTTGTCCTAAATGCAGGGGAGAAAGATCATTTTAAAAAATGATTTAAAATGCCCTTTATCCTTGGCAGCAACTCACATTTTCTGAGATGGTGGTTGTTTGAGGCTTACATACGGTACAGTGTCACAGGGACACACCACAGGAGACAGACTTTCCTGGCTTTCAGCTGGCTTTACTATGCTGCATTCACCAAAGGGTGTGGGGCTTTGCCATCCATCTGAGCCAGAGGAAGCACAAGAATCACTCAGAGCAGGGCCTTAGCATTTAAGGCTCTTCTCACATCTCCTGACACTTAGCCCTTCTTGTCCTCGTTTCTGCTCAGAGCAGCGTGTTAAACTGCATGGAAAGGTACTATGGGCAAAAGGTCAACCTCATATTTGCTCATTGTTCACATGGCACTAAAACTCACCCTCCTCTCCCTGCTGCTCCACATCCCCTCCATTCACTGCATCATTCTGAAAAATGGACTTTTACTTCCAGCATTGCTGACCGAGTGGAGCAACGTAAGAAGCTGAACTGCAGATCCTTCCAGTGGTATTTGGAGAATGTCTACCCAGAGCTCAAGTAAGTTGATCACCAGTGCTTAAAAAACCTGGGAAATCCCTTTCTGAGGTTGTACCAGTTTGGGAAGTGTCAGCCACAGGACAGGGGGAGATCTGTGGCAGAAGCTGGGAGTGAGGAAAGATAGGAACTCTCATATCAAGTAAGTCCTGCCTCATTCCTTTAGCTAGAAATCTTCCCTTGTTTTCCAGCCTGCACTTGCATATGACCCATCTCCCCACCACCACTTCCTAACTGAATGTTTGAGTTGGGAATTGGCAGTCTGGGAAAGGATCTCTAGCTGAACCCAACCTAGAGACAATAATTGCATATAGCTCAGAGCCCGAGAAAAACAGACATAAGCTCAATCTGCCTGTGTACTTAGATGGGAGACCACTAAAGAAAACCCCACATTCTGGAAGACCTTTACAAATTGGCACTCTTCTGCATTGGTACTGAACCATCATGGTAGTAAGCAGACCCATCTACACTAGGTGCTGCGTTACTAGGGCACGTTGGCTAACATCTTCTAGCAGCCCGCCTAATCTGAGCGAGATGGCACCTTAGGACTGAGTCAGGTTAGATAACACAGGGGTTAAAATTCTGGGGAGCTGGCTGGAGTCTTGTCTACACGAGTATTCACACTGCTATTATCAGTGTGGTGATAACCTCATGTTAGCAATAGGGAAACAGATCAGTGGGGAGACAGCCTGTTGCTGGAAGTGCCACCTTGCTGATGAGATACAACACAACAGTCCAACCACTTGGAGATATTAGGGCTCTTGCAGCCCTTTTTGGGAGGGATGCTAACTCCATGGGCAAATCCTCCTTCGCCTTTTGCCTCCCTAAATTCCCTCAGGTATTTCAGTCAAATATGATGACATTCTTCACGTTCTGTGTAGTGTACTTGCATGCTGCTGTGTCTCACTCCAGAGGGAAGTGCATTTCAGATGCAGCGAGTGATCCCTATATAAATATGTAAAATGCTTTCCAACACTTCTGGATACAAGATGCTATGAAAAAGTTGTTTTCCTACAAGGGTTCCTGAAAAGGAGCTAATTCCTGGGATTATCAAACAAGGAGAAAATTGCCTGGAATCTCAGGGACAGGATATGACTGGAAATACTTTGGCTGGCGTGGGAAGCTGTAAAGGGACAATGAGCAGTCCTCCTGTCACCCAGGTGAGGCTGTCCTGAATTTCACTCTTCACTTCTGCTTCCTGCTTCTTAGATACAGTACGCAAGTACTTAAGACAGTGGTACCTAGATAAAGGTGCACATATGACCTTCAGATGCACTGAGACCTTAAGCGCATATGCTCATCAGATTTGGTCCATATTCAAACCACTCAGATTAAGTTGAAGCATTGCATGCTGGGACTTGTCACGTCCACTGGCCACACTTGTGTTTCTGAGAGGAGGTTGCTGCAATCTTAGTTTTCAGCAAATTCAGTTTGGCCCCTGGGCTTTAAGGCTAATTGTTAAGATGGCTCTCCGTATAACAAAGTTCAGGTATATGTGATCAGCTGTATTAATTATAGAGCCATATAATACAGTGATTCTTAACCAGATACTGCAGCTACACATAATTTACCAGATAACTCCAAACGTATCCATAGTGTCAACATCATTTTGACCTGTTGTGGTCTTTCTGAGTTCCTTGCAATAGAAGAATTATTCTGTTGTTTTTCTGTAGACAAAAAATGAATGAAAGCTGAGAACTGGCACTTTCCAAGGGCTGCCTTGAGTATAAAGATTCAGAACCACTGATACAGCATGTCAGTAGATACTGACAGGCTCACACAATAATCTATTAACTCCTTGAGAGCTACGTGCTGTGTTCTGGGAAGCTATTTGTACCTCTCTCTCTCTCTAGCTCATCCCTATTTTACCAAATGCCTTTGTATCCAGGCACTGTAAAGTGGCATAATATATGAAGGTGAGCTGCACGAAAGTTCAGCCATTCCCCTGGAATATATGGTATAGGACAGCAGTCCCCAAATGTTTTCTAGTTGTGGTCCACTCAGAGCAGGGCTAATTTATCACAACTCTGTATACCCAATTGGCACGGGGTCATTGCAGGCATATGAACAGGTATTGCAGAGCAGTTGAGGCCTTGCAAATCCCTTCCCCCTTTTTAACTGTGGCTACATGAACTGTCTGACTGTGTTGCTGCTTGTACCCTGCAGTAAGTGAAATTCAAATGAGCCACTATTGAGGCCAGTTTCACTTCATGGGTCAGCTTCCTCAGTTTAGCTCAGGCTGGAGGTAACTGGGGACAGTTACTGCAGAACAGCTAAGGCATGAGTTCTTCCTGAGTTCAGTAAGGGCAGCAGAGACCTTACCAGAACTGGGTGCTCACAATTAACAGCGCATGAGGTTTTACTGCATCTTAGCTGCTCTTTAGTCGTTGTCCCTACACCATCTTGAAACGTATGGTGGAAGGTAAACCAGGGAAAGAAACAAGGCTGAGTTGCTCCATTTTCATTTACTGTGCGGTAACTGAGCACAGCCACAATTACTAGTGCAGCTGTGGCAAAATCCCACTCCCTGTTAATTGTGCACACATGGGATAAACTGAGGCTTAAGGAAATCAGGGGCTCCATTGTGCTTGTGACCACACTCCAAACTGCTGCAATGCCACTTGGGGTAACAACCCCAACACTGGTAACCACAGGCATAGGACCTTACAGATGTCACTTTCTGAGCACAATGTAAAAGTTCACACAGATTTTGAATTGGTCACTCTGAATTGCATGGTATACATTAAGTAGTACAGCCCCTAGAGGAATCTGAAATCTTTGCCTTGATTGCTAGAAGAATATATTCAAATATTTATTTAAGAATAAGCATTTTAAAAACCATTTTAAAATAAGAATTCTGTTAGTGGAGAACTGTCTCGACTAAAAATATATATTTTTAAATTCTTTATGTTTCTATGTAATCTAAAATGGTTAAAAGTCAAATCATGACCCCAAGAAGCAAATGCAACAGCCCAGTATGACCTAACCCTCTCCCTAAAACACACACACACATGTGTATGTATGTGTTTTAGGGACAGGGTTAGGTCATATTGGGCTGTTACATTTGCTTCTTGGGGTCATGATTACACACACACACGCATACTCTTCTAATTCACTGTGGGAGTATGTCTCCCTCAGTGACTCCAGATTGAATACACACAAGTTTTGACAGAAAAAATGTCAACCTTGTAACCATGACCTGAGACCTGAAAGTCATGATGCTGCCTTGCCCATCATCACAGGATTGTGTAAGCCTAAATCTGCCCTCAGTGGACTTGCAGATTTGTGACTGAGGGCAGAATCTGGCCGTATATTTGGAGTCTAGTTGATAAGCTGTTAACAATGGGCAAGCTGGAGTAGAACAATAGTTTTGTCTCAAAAGTAGTGTTGGCCCAACAGGGTTAACAGAGCTAAGCCACAAGGGGAAATAATAGTTGTCACTAAAAGTCAGCTGATAATACCCTGAAAACCCACAGGGAGCAGACTGATTGAGTGGGAAGGTGCCACTTTTTCAGCAATGTTTCCAAGTAAAACCAAACTGTACAGTAAGTGGTCCACAACTCCTGCTGCCATTAATTAATGTAGTAGCTCCACTGACTGCAATGTAGCCATGTTGGTTTACAACACCAGAGGGTGTGCCCAAGATACACACTGAGAAGCTATGATGTAGTAGGGAAGCAGTTTGAATAAGCACAGGGTCACAGTAGGATAATCTATGCCAGAAAAGGCTTATTCACATCTGTTAACTGTTGGGAATAAAGTTTGCAGCCAGTATCCAACATGTCTTTTAATCCGACTCATTGTTACATGTCACGATTTTTTGAAATCACTGATACTTATTGCATTTTCTTTGTAATTAAAGAATAATCATAATAATACTATTGTTTTGGGCATCTACCAAGTGGGGGAGAGGGCACATGAACTGACTTGTATTTTGCATGTGTTTGGCACATCTGTAAGTATGCAGATTTATATGTATATGTTTTACCCAAGACAATCAACTGTCTGCATACCACAGCTGACAGTCACTGTTGGCTGGTGTAGAAGTTAGCCAGTGAGTTTCTCCATTATGTATAATAAGAAAAACATGTTTACGTTTCATGTGAATTGCTTCTCAGCCTCTTGTGGGCTAAGATCAGGTACCTTAGCCCAGGGCCCTACCTACTTTGCAGCCCTAATTACATGAGGATGCTGATCTCATCCATAGATCATTTGGACAATCTGAGAGTCAGGGGAACCACCTAGCAGTGTTTGAAATCCATGTATCATAGGTTCCCAAACCTGAATACATACTCCAGAGCAGTGGTTCTCAATATTTTTAGACTCAAGGCACCTTTAGGAAAATGCCAGCTCTTACCTTTCCAGAAGAATAATTGAACAGTTCTTCTCTTGCAAAGAACCCAGAAAGATCACAGCAGGTCAAAATGTTTTTACACTATGGATTCCTGTTTGACATCTCTGGGTTTATCTTGCATAGATATCTGTGGCAGTGTTGGGGTGATGTTGCATACCTAACGGTGCTAGGATTGGCCACATATAGACATTCAGTTACTCCTGGGAAAGTTGCTGCTCTCCCAGGAGAAACCACAAATGTACAGTTGTTTAGGGGTTTTTTTTCTAGAGCAAAAATAGCTGCTTGAGGAGAAAAATGACCTGGAAACAACCAAGGTTAAATCGCTCCCAGGAGAGTTTCTCCTAGGAGAGTGCATGTCTGTACATGTTCTCTTCTGAAAGCAGGCATGGCACAGCCCTCCAACATCCTAGGGTTCTTTGCTTCCAACCCTCTGTCTCTCAAGGGAGATAGTGTTCCAGGTAAGCAGGGAACACAACACACCCCTTCACAATCCCATATTGTGCTGCAGGGTGACACAGGCTGACCTTGAGCAGTGTGGGTCAGCAAGTCAGGGCTGCCCTGTGCACTGCTGCAATCTGTCTCTGGGTAGAATGAGGGAGTCTGCAGAGTGTGCAGAAATGTGAACGCAGGTGCTCCTGGGCTTTGCTGTGTCAACACTACAAACTCTTTGTTCTTCAAGAACTCAGCACTCAAATATTCATTCAGGCATCTCTGAGTAAATTTTTCTATCAGGGAAACAAACCCAGGAAAATGTGTACGCAGCTAGAGTGTACCACCTTTAAAAGGATTTCAGAGCACCCCAAGGTGCTGTGGCATCCTGGTTGAGAATCACTGCTGCAGGGCATGGTAAAAGACTTCCCCAAAACCCACCAGCTCAGTGCATTCAAGTCTTTTGCTAAGTGAGAACTCTGGGATGTGGTTCAGCATTGATGAAAATCTCATTTTTTTAAAATACCATCAACCTCACAGTACTAGAATCTTTATCTGTTTGGGTTTTTTTTTCTCCACTAAAGGAATGGGTATTCAGCGACCCTTTAATTAGACAGCAAGACAAGTGTCTCTCCATCACCTCCTTCTCCACTGGGTCTCAAGTCACACTGGAAGCATGCAATCAGAAAGATGGCAGACAGGTATTGTACTATCTTCATAACACTGTCACTATCACATGCTGGTGTTTCTTTATTAGGACTACCTTAACAGAAAGAATTGGCACTGGTAAGGAGACTGTATACCCTAAAAAGTCTCTTCTGTCTTCTGATTCTAGAATCTCTTCTTCCATATGTAATTTATAAATTTTCATTTGTAACCCTCACCTTTACTCTAGGGATGGGATATAGGTCACTTTCCTTTGACACCCTTCAATAAAGTGTCAGGAACTCCACTATTTGTCTACTTATTTTGCATTTGGGATAGTGTTAGACAAACTTTTGAATGCAAAATGTTCTTCATCAGGTCTGGCCCAGTGAAGAATGTCTTGCATTCAAAAGTTTGTCTAACTCTATCCCAGCTACACAGTTGGTCCAATAAAAGATCTCACCCTAAGAAATCCTTGTCTTGTGTAATTTATGGACCATCACAGCTACAAAATAACTGTTACACTACCTTTTTACCAATATTTTTTATTTTGAGATTTGGAAAATGTGCCCATCACATAGTCCTTGGGCACATGTGCATGTATTTAAACTGATACAGTGATAGATACCAACCTGGTATCACTTTGAAATCAAGTTCAGTATGTTTCATACAAAAGTCAACAGACACAGAACTTCCTACCTTTAGCTCACCCAGACATATATCAGAGGGCTGTCAGTTTACGTGATCTTTTCTGCTGAGATAGGGAGAGAAATGGTTTCTCAGATATCCAAGACCTATCTATAAGTACAGGTATGCGTTATTTTCTTCACTGGACAAAGTGCAATAGGGAATGATCCTGCACTAGCAGAAAACAGATTGACAGGAGGCCTATATTCCTGACTTGTGTGCTTCTTTCTGCTGCAAGTGAAAGTAAACTTTGCATCATCTAGGGCTGTGCTGGCTTCTTTTCTAATGTGTCTATTGCCTTGGTAGCATAAAGGTATGAGGCTGCATAGCCTATTACCAGTACCCAGCACAATGAGTCACTGATTTTAGTCCTTGCCAAAAGGAAGTGCTTTAAAAAGTACTGAAATTAAGCCAGGCTCATCTATGGAAAGCATGAACTGATATTTCTCCAGAGGATTGGTTAACACAGTGATGTCTCAGAGCTGTTACTGTGAATACATTGGGAAAATTCTCACTGTTCAAATCAGCCCTCCAAGAATATCCCAGATGGGTTGTATTTTCCTGGGTCTCTCTCCCACTAGTGACCACTCACTGTGTAATTAGGTCACTTAATTCCCTGAAGTGCTTTACAAAATCTTCCTCTCTGGTAGCAGAAAGGATGCTGGCAGCTGCCAAAATCTTCAGCTGCCCTTCCCTCTCCTCCCCTGGCACAGCAGGACCAGTGTCTTCTGCACAGAAAAGGCATGCAAACCCTGTTAGTAAGAAGTGACAAATCAATCTGCACTAACACACAGATTCCTTTCAATGTCAAAGTGATTTACAGAGCACCTCTGTGTCAGTTTTTGTAGCAGCTGTGTTATAAGACGGTCAGAATTTGGAGTCAGCCTGCTAAGGATGTGTATTGTTGTTTTCCATTACCTTATGGGGATAAGGTGGACTCAAGTCAAGGACTTCAACCTTCCAGATGATTTTACCAACAGTCTATAAACAAGGATTTTGTTTAAATATTTCAAATAATTAGAGTTTGCTTTGGACCATAGCTGTAATTCTAGACTTTCTGCATCTTTGTGGGATGCCTGTACTTGAATGCAAACCTGCATTTGAATGTTAAATACAATCCATCTCTATATAACAGGTTATATATGAACTCTGAATCAAAAGAGCCCTGAAATGCTGAGGGTTCAGAAGCCCAAAGATTTTTCTGTCTAGAGCCATCTCCATTACTATCTTCTTTGAAATACTATCCTGGTTCTTTCCATCTGTAAATAGCAACAATAATTGTGACTTGTGACTGCTGCTATTATGACTGACATGGATTTTTCACTATCAGGATTCCTTGTCCTTCCTTTACTGTATCTCCTGGTCTTCCTCTTCCTTGCCCCTCCTCTTCCATAGCATTGCTTCTCAGATAATGCTTCAACTTCATTTTGAGAACTGGTTCCTTCTCTGCCAGCCCCCAGCTGAAGTGGAAACTGAAGCTGGCAATGGCAAGATGGATTACCTGGGAAGGCAGGGCTAGGACTAACAAGGAGGAATCCTGGCAACAAAGTGATAAAGCAGAGTGGCATATCTGAGGCCAACTCTTTCCTGTCTGCCAGCTCTCACAACCCTCTTCTAACTCATTAGAACCTCTGGGTTGTGTCTACACCATTTCCTCGGCACTCTCATGGAAGGATGCCCTTGAATACACCCCCCACCCAAACAATCCCACTTGCACATGTCAAGCCCAGAAATGCAGGAGCCCATCAGAGTAGAGGAATATTAACCCTACTGATGCCATCTACACAAACAAGATTTGGGGGAAAAATGGTGGGACTAGGCAGACAGGTATGGTTGAGCTTTGTTTTGACTATGTTCCCTAGTAGTGTCCTGATCAGAGGTGTCCATAGTGAAAGGAAAGGAAGAGATATGGATTTTACAGGATCTAGGGCTCTTCATCTATAGTCAAGTGGTTCAAAAGCAGAAAGTTTAGTTACTCAGTCAAACCAGAGTGGACTGTCCAGCAACCTTTAGAGTCTTGCTCTGCTCCTGAAAAAATAGCATGTGATTTGATTTTGAGAGAGACACTAAGGCTTGCAGCCTACAGATCACAGTTGGATAGTTCAAAGTGTAGCAATTGCTGGGCCCCAGGGGTGGCTGAGATGCCCACTGGTAGCCACACTGTTCCTGCCCCCCACTCTGGTGCCTTGGGTTCCCCTCCTTTTCTCTCACCTGCCATGCCCTGATGTAATCAGTTGATTAGTGAAAAAAAGAGGCTGCCCTAGGGTCCCAGAGAGAGTCTCAATCCTCTTCCTGCCGGCACATCCCTCTCAGACTCCGCTGGTCTCGGTACTGTCTTCTCACTTGGTGGGCCCTCCCAGCCCATCCATACCCCCAGGGGCATTAATCGCTTTAAGGGCTAATTTTGTGGTCTCCTACCTCCCCTGTAGCCACAACCATATCTCTCAGCTGTTGCTGTTCAATTGCTCTCCTTTGTTGGGGCTTCAGCCTTCACCTCTTTCCTCTCACTGGGCCTTCTAGCCCAGGCCTACTGTGTCAGACCTGGCTTCTGGGTTCCAGCCCTTGTAATGCTTATTTTGGCTCTTGGTCCTTTGGCCCTGATGTCCGTGCTGCTTGGGTACTGAGCCCCCTGGCCCTGGTGTCCACCCTGCTTGGGCACTACTGAGAACTCCTCCACCCTTGATATTCCCAGTCAGTGTAAACTATAATACAAGAGTAAGTTCACTGGCTATAGCACAAACTATCCCCACACCAGGTCTAAACACAAACACCAGCTTGCTGGCTGTACAACAAAACTTCCCTCTGCCTGGGTTATATTCCTTATCAGCACCATCCCAGGGTAGCATCAGCCAGGCACTCCTCTACAGCCTTCCTGGGCAGGATCAATTCCCTCTCCTGCCTGCAGAGCCAGACTGCCTGCCTGGGCTCAGGCACTGGCTTTATGTGCCGCCTAAGCCCAGCTCCCTTCCTTGCAGGTGACTCCCCAGCCACCTACAGGTGTTTCCAGTCCAGATTGCCTTTGGGGCAGCTTACTGCTGCTACCCTTGCTGCCTTAGTAGTGTCCTTGCTGCTTAAACAAGGCTCTGCCCTATTGTACTACTCCTGAACAGCTAACCCCACAATAGGCACTCACTGCCTATGAGTCCCTGGCTGCCTACATCTTCAAGTAACAGGAGCCACTGGCTTCCCATTACAAAAGACAGTAACTTTTGCCAGAAAGGCAAGCAACAATTTGATTTACCAGCTAGAGTAGGGGGAGTGCTTTGCAGTAATGTGAGCTACAATTGGATTACTTCAGCAAAGTAAGTCTATGCATGTGTGTGTAGGAAAGAACTTGAGGCATGTACCAGCGAGTGGCCTGAATCTGGGTGATTTCTGGTCCCATTAATTTATTCTGTCCTGGGTTGAAAAGAATCAGAAACAAGACATGTTTGGCAACACAGTCACAGTGATCACTCAATAGCAACAGCAGGAAGCCCTAGTGGAAGACTAGCCAAAAGCTATTCTGCATAATCACAACTAGATTTCAAACCAGATGGATGTTATCCATAATATTATTTAGATAATAGCATTTTAACTTGAATGCAAGATAAATTATTACATAGTCTCATTTTGGCTCAGATGGATGATGGGAGGTGCATTTTAATTAGTATTATAGGAGGATAAATATAAGACAAAGTGAGAGCCAGACACTAAAACAAGAATTAAACTGAGAAACCTTGGCAAAGTGTTCCCCAACAGAATAAGGAGAATAAAGAAAAATCCCTTTACTTCCCAAATCTCCCAATCCCATTATTTTCTAAATCCCACCAATATTTTATTTTAATTTACCAAAACAATGTGACCTCAGTCTTAAAATTAGAACAACCAGGTTTTCTTGTGGAGCTACCACACATGAAATCTCACCTGCCTTTGGACATATGATTGGAATATTTTTCTCCAGTCTGCTTTCCAATGGCTCGTATCATCCGAGATACAGACAAATGAAACCGTATGCAGACTCTCTGAATGCAGAGAGAATGAAAACCTCCCAATTTTGCAAGTGCCTGACTCAGCATCTTGATGATAATAACCAGGTAAAATGTTCCTTTCATCATGCCACAGCTTGAAAGCAATTTTCCAGAGACAAGAGTTTTTCTCAGCTCCAATTCTTTTCATGTGTTTCAAGTTGTGTGAATTTCTAAGCTCAAAAGGAGAAAGACAGACTTGCTGTATTCTTGTATGATGCACCAGCTGTTGTACACACTTTCTCATCAAACACCTCAGCCAAAGTGCCGATAATCTTCCATGAAATATCTCCTGCAGCTAGGCTTCCCAAATCTTTGTAAATACACTTCAGTCTTAGCCTGTGTCAGCCCCCACTTGTTCC